CTTACTATATAATCATGAGCACCTGGTTATTTAGCCAATGACAAATCAGAACAGGTGGAATCGCATCTGTGAATAATTTACATACAGATAGCTAGCAATTATCTGCTGATCTACAAAACGCAGATAATTTATCATTGCAAATGAAGTGCATATTGCTCCCCAACTCTGCAAATATGTAAAACATTACTTCCAAAACAAACTAAAAACATAAACTGTGTTAAAATGATGTCGTTTAGTCAAAACATAATGACATATTAGTAGTGGATATCCTGTCTTAACTTTCCAATTTTATTTTCATAGCCCTTAGACAAACATACCAACAAACATACAAAAACTCGGGTTCGGCCAGGTTTGCTCAAAGCCAACCGGAACAACCCCTCCATCAACTTGAGAATCGATATGTGTTTTTAATATTTGAGAATCTGTTTTTAATAGACGGCAACACCTTCTTTATATTGATACTGAACAATACTTATGATCGCGATCGAGGGGCTGCAATTCTTCATGTACAGATTCCTCACAAAAAATACAAACTATGTCGACTCCCGAGATGCAATGATTTTAACAGAACGTAATTTGAAGAAGTCAGTAGAGTTCGTGATTTCGGCTCGATGAGTTTACACGGTTAGACCCATGTCGGTAGCTAGTTATATCGGCGCTTAAAGGGCGGTAGTCGTCGCACCACGCATGCGCGAGACATATGTGTCTCATATAAACAAGGATGACGACTTTGATTGTTGCACAGATCAACGAGTACAAACGTTACTAAGCTTTAATTGGATATTTTTTAGGTGATTGGAAGGTATCGAAGGAGTCACCGGCGGTGATTAGTCCCGCCCAGGTCAAACCTCATACTTGTGATTTCCATTAGAAGAGCATATTGGATTGTGGGAAAATTAATGATTATCAACACAAATGTCGCACATGCGCAGCGTGACGTCCACCTCGCTTTAACCCCGAGACTTTATCGGAGCCGAACTTGGTTCGAGCTGGCTCGAACTGAACGCGTTAATACGATGATTTTTACTGACTCGAGCCGTTGGCTTCGATAAAATGTTGTCGTGTAAACGAAGTAGTAACCGATCCTCAAGGACAAACAAATCCTTCTTAGTGAGTGTCTATTATTTACAAATCGTAATTTAGGAGCTTCACTTAAACTCATATTGTGCAATAAATTTTTCATTACCCATCCACAATCTCAACATTTTTCACAGTCCGTCCCCAAGTGTTCTTGGACCAACCCCGTTTTTAGCTCCGCTGTCGACTTTGTCGAGCGGAGCTTATCATATGAGTGATTGTCCGTCGTCATCCGTCGTCCGTCGTCGTCCGTGTCAATGTTTTACTTTTTCGACTTCTTCTTGAAAACTGTAAGCCTGAATGCTTTGATACTTGGTGTATACTTACCCTGGGTAGACCTCTCTTAGATTTGTTCATTTCATGATGATATCTTCAATTCTCTAATTTTGGTGAATATTTTTGTCATTTTTGGTAAAAACTGATATTTTCGACTTATTGTTAAAAACCGCAAGTCCAATTACTTTGATATTACATATATATGTACTACATGCGGTCCTCTCTCATGTTTGTTCATTTTGAAATGATATCTTTAATTCTCTAATTTTGGTGAATATTTTTGTCATTTTTGGTAAAAAGTGATATTTTCGACTTCTTGTTAAAAACTGCAAGTCCAATTGCTTTGATATTACATATTTAGGTATTACATGTGGACCTCTCTCAGATTCGTTCATTTTGTAATGATATCTGTAATTCTCTAATTTTGGTGAATATTTTTGTCCTTTTTGGTGAAAAGTGATATTTTCGACTTCTTGTTAAAAACTGCAAGTCTAATTGCTTTGATATCACATATATAGGTACTACATGTGGACCTCTCTCAGATTTGTTCATTTTGTAATAATATCTTTAAATCTATAATTTTAGTGAATATTTTTGTCATTTTTGGTGAAAAGTGATATTTTCGACTTCCTGTTAAAAACCGCAAGTCCAATGGCTTTGATATTACATATATAGGTACTACATGTGGACCTCTCTCAGATGTGTTCATTTCGTTGTGATATCTTTAATTCTCTAATTTTAGTGAATATTTTTGTAATTATTGGTAAAAAGTGATATTTTCGACTTCTTGTTAAAAAACACAAGTCTGATTGCTTTTATATTACATATATGGGTACTACATGTGGATCTCTCTCAGATTTGTTCATTTCGTGATAATATCTTCAATTATCTAATTTTGATTATTATTTTTGTCATTTTTGGTGAAAGGTAATATTTTTGAATTCTTGTTGAAAACAGCAAGTCTACATATTGTTCATTTTCTAATGATATCTTCTGTTCTTTAATTGAAATGTGCATTGCTAACAGCGGGGCTATCTCAGCCGACTGTTTTTTTGTTTTTCTATCCTTCCTCCTGGAGACAATTGAGGAGTTTTCCTGGTAATTCCATCAGCCTTCCGTCCCAAGACATGCCCAATTCACTTCAATCTGCTTCTCCTTAGTATATCTTTCATACTCTGCTAAATCAAGTATTGAAACGATCAAGATTATTCATCCGCTGGTTTTCCCACATTTTACCAAATCAGTAGTCATTATTTAATTTTTAAGAATTCATTACTGTAGTGTTGGGTATGAATGACCCGAATATGTCAGAAGATGTTTTAGAGATATGTCAAATTGTTGAAAATTTGTCAAATGCTGCTGTAATTGAATTGGACTAGTTGCGCAATTCCATAGTACTAGTATGACACATATAAACACAAGGATCCAACTTTCATTTGTTTATTTAAATCCCGTATTGATCGACGTTAGTGTTATTTATTAATGTTGCTATGGAGATGACAAACCCCTGCAGTGATGAAAGCGAATGAATGCTGACACAATGATATCAATAAGTCCTAGTATACATATATGCACGTATTGTCCAATTAGTTATCACAGAGCCACATCTTGATCTTGCAAAGGACTGACGTCAGAGAATACGTCAGTCATCACGTGACAGTCCTTGTCTCATTCACAACAACCAAAAGAACCCGCATAATTTAACAATTTGACAATGGCTACTGAAAAATTATTTCTTTTTGGTTCAAAATTAGCAAATAACATTTAAAAAAATACATTGAATTGTTGAAATGCTGCAATGACGTTCAAAACCACCATAATGAGTACGGGACGGAAACACAAGACCGGCTGGTAAACGTAGCAGCCTCTCTTAAAGCGCGGTGGTCGTCGCGCAGCGCATATTCGAATTTCATGTAAACAAAAATGTATTTTACACGCGTTGTATACGTCGCTATGAGTCCCATATCGAACAGGACGCGGCGCGACGACTGCCGCCCTTTAAAGTCTCATGGTACAATAAGAATGTGTATGTCATTTGAACAAAACTAAAGTTCGGCTTTCTAATATTTCAACTGTTTTATTTAATATGACACCATATATTCCTTGCATTTTTTTGCGGGTGAAATTTTAGCAACAGAAAATGACAATTCGACACATTTAAAGGGAGTACCCGGATGCTTTTCTTATTTTTGCATTGTCTATGCAGAGTTTGATTGTAGTATGGGGAGGGGGTATACATTTCCCGTCCTTTACCTATTCCGATCACATTAGTGCTGGTATGTTGACGTAAGCACGTGTTAATAATGCTGTTATAAATGTCCCATCATGCATGCATGATGTATGAGTCGTCATACACAGTAATGTACTAATCTGTTATGAATAATCTATCATCAATAATATCTACTATTAGAATTCAACTAGCCATATGTTAGTACCCCCTCCCGTGATATAGTTATTATGCGTATATGTTGGTTCTCCGCTAACCTCTGAATCGATCACCAAATTTTGAAAGCCAAAAGTCAACGCGGCGCGTCGTGTTCGACGTACACACGTGTATGGATTCGTACAAAATGTTCTGTGCGTCACCGCAGTAATAAGAAGAAATCAAAATCCGTGTAAATACTCAAACATTTTTCCGCAATTTAACAAATGACACGTGACAGACACCAACAAATACACAGGTATCGCCTCAGATTGCAACTTTAAAGAATGGACAACCACTCATTTATTTGATACATGTACTCAGTATCAGTCACAACCACTATGCCCTATCACTCCTGAGCTAGTACTATGCGTAGAAATCATATTGAAGCGCACGCAACGCTTTATACAGATAACAGCGAAACTTGAGTAACCCTCCAGTGACCCCCCCAAACATCATAGGTTGAAAACAACTGTGTTAGGACCCAGAGATCTGCCTTGGTGGCGACCAATTTAGTGTCAGAAATAAGTCGGTTCAAGTCTATTTATGTTTTAGCAATGTTTACCATGCGTCGACCAATTTACTTTCACAACACTGAACGAATATAAACATGTCGATACCTATATTTACTTTTACGTCTACCATATTGAGTGAACATCACAATCGGGCGTGGTAAAAACGTAAAGTAAATAATGGATTTTCACTATTATATACACGGGGTTATTATCGCATTATTCGAGAAATTCCATCAATAAAGGTATAAGCCAATAAAGATATTTTACACGCGTTGTATAAGTGGTATGGGACCCACACCGAACACGATGTGGTGAGATCACTGTGGTGCGTCATTAGCTTACCAATCAATGTTTCGTTGAAGAGTCAATATGGATATCGATAACTTTGAGTATTGTAATCGATATCTCATACTGATACATTGATCTGTTTGTCGTCAACTGAAATTGATATTTTGGTTGCCCACAGAATGGTATTTAATAAACAAATTTCACAGCTGCGCATGCGCCTTGGTTTACTGGTACGTAAGAGCTCTTGAAAATCAGGATACCGATCACCATTTTTCTGTTGATAAAATTGAGTAATTTAAAGAATGATGGTCGTTGTCTGTATTTTGCACGCGTTGTGTCATTGCGGTTCATTGCATTGTTCAGATTACTTACTATCTTTGTATTTTCGGTGTATTAAAGTTTGTTTTATTTTTACATTGCAGACGTAGTGGAGTTACTTGCCTACCACCCAGCTATCAAACATGGCGACGCGTTGCTACGCGCCGTTGACAACCACCTGTTACCGGAAGTTAAAGTACTCTGTGAGAGTTTGAAACACAGAAATCTGCTGCTCGTAAGTGTGTGTATTTGTTTTCTATACGCGACGCGTTCAGAGATTCGAGTGTTGTTATCGAGCATAACGGTCATTAAGTCGCACCTTATAGTGATCAAGCGCTTTGGTAACATAGATTTATGCATATGAGCAAACACTTGTTGACAGTTTTAGTACATATATTTTCCGACTAGATAGTTTATTTTCCCTGTCGCGGCTTCTTATTGTCTTAATATCTACAACAGTGATTCAGTAGATGAAATAGCTCATGATGTTCACATGATTTCAGTAAAAGTTGCACAACAACATACATTACAACACAACATTTTAAAAAGCCTCGAAATATGATAAAACGAACATAAAAACATGTACGATGATGTGGGAAACTGTTTTCTTTGTATAATTTCATCGTAAATACCAAATACTCTATTTTCAATTCATAAATTCATGACTCGCTATCCAATTCTTCGCGGAATCAGAATGGTGTTTTTCCAATGTTGATACAGCGTTCGCATACAGTCATTGACTCACGCCATCACAGACGAATGTTGGTACCACGCGTTCATAACTCTTTGTATATTTCGACGTGGTATGCCTGGAGCGAAATTCCGACACAACTTGCAACATTTGCTCACAAACTAATACAATAATTTTTAATTGAAAACCTTTCCCTGTTGTCCTTTTCAATCTATCAAGTCATTAAACTATATACCCACTGGCTAGCCCAAAAGCAAGTAATTTACTGATTTTCTTTCCACGGATTCGAACTACAACGATGGGCTGGCATCCACCACATCCTGTTGACCGGAAATTGTCAAGGCTGATTTTAAAGCCGGGGAGTCGTCACCTGAGCATACGTCATATGGCCATAGCGTGTCATTTACAAACAAGCGTCTACCCATGAGCCTTTGCGTTTTTAGCGTGTGTTATCGTCGCTTGGGACTCAAATCTCGCGCGTGCGCAGGTGACGACCCTCCCGCTTTAACCTTTTAGATTGTATCAATTAGGTTAAAAATATGGAAATTTATTCTTGTAGAAACATAACCATAAATTGCTGACACAACCTGGCCTTTACACTTCCGTGTCCTAATAAGAAAATTATGGCAACTTTAAAATGAACACGCCACATTCTGACAAAATGGTCGACGGATTTCATGACCATATATGGTTGATAGACTATTCTACTTGTGTGCAAATAATATATTGTAGTAACTTCCGGTTCGTTTGTCAGACGACAATCATCAACACCGGAGGTATGTAATATTACGTCACGTATAAATACATCGATATTTACGCCGGTGCTGTGATCTGTGAAAGTAACGCGTGGGTCGGACAAACATTGATAGTCGTCTAGTTATAAGAAAATAAAATTTATTTTGCCATTTCATTTTGTTCTACATGTAATTTGAAAGTATACACACACACATCAGTATTCGGTCGATAAAATACTCAGCAACTCTAATGCTCATGCTTGCCGCATCTTCCTGTACGCGCAACCTTGCAGCAGAATATCATTTTGATTTTACGATGAATCATAGCTTAAAGTATTTATCGAGAACTAAACGTGCTCAAAAAGTTATTCGCATAGCCAGTTAAACCTAATCTCACAAAAAATTTCTGGATTAAAATTACAATGGATAACAAAAGATAGATTTACTTTGTAAACAACATAAACAATAGTGTCCCATGATTCTTTGGTGCAATCCCTGGGCTTGGAAGGTTCCCCTTTAATACTGTTGTGTGTCACTGTATGTTGACAAATACGTCGGATTATGATCTACCATAAACTTGAAACATTCGGTCGACGTAACAAAGAATCAAATCAATACACATACGCGCTAAATGTTCTGGTGCTAAAATCACCGCACGTGTGTATTAATGTTTTTTTCATTTTTCTTTAAACGAATACTATGCAGTATGCTGCAAAAACTACTGTTTTAGTTCACGAAAAATCACAATTAATGAATTTAGTTATTAATATGCATTGTCGAACAGCAGTAATAAAAAACGTTTTGTTATTTCTTCGGATAAATACTGCCATGTGTTCTACCAAAACAATGTTTGTGTTTTACGATAGACTGAATTCACGATACACGCTGTAGTTAGGACACTATTTTACCTTTAAGGCCAATGGAGCGTTTGCGCAATATTGACTCTGTCGCGGTATCACATCAGTGATTTATGGATGATGTCGCATTCTTCAGCTGGAAGAAAATTATGACGAAATATTAGCTGAATCTAAGTTTTAACTATTCGGCATGTAGGTCTTCTAAGTAATTCTTCTTTTCTATACTTGCATCCTCCGGCGACGAAGCGTGTTTAAGAGTCGATATCGTTTTGATCTCAAGTGGTCCATCAATAGAAATGATGTTTTTGAGAGATTTTGTTGTTGATTTCAACGACATTGTTTTCACTACATACGTCATTTTGACGTCACACAAGGACCCCGTCACTGGAGGGCGCGAATTATAGCAATGATGTATTCAGTGTGTGTAACACTAGAACACCCCTACGCTTGTGGCTAAACACAGAGTCATAGGTGGGGCATTTATACGAATATGTTGGGTATGTACGTTTAAATGAACTGAATAACCTAGTTAAAACTCTAAATTTATGAAACAAATACAATAATGTCACTACCTGTGTATTCATGTACAGCCGAGCAAATAAGTTCAATTTTGATGTAATTATTAACAAAACCTGTGTTGATTTCATTCGGAGTAAAGTAATGTATCTCTCTCTTTACTCTTCGCATGGCAACCATTTTAGAGTGTAATTGGCATAACTGAACGTTTTTATTAAATAAAGCTTTCTATCGATTAATCGACATACATCACAAGTTTACATTTGAACAAATCGTTTTGAGAACGGATGTGATGTATTTTTTTTATGAATTGATAGAATTCAGAGATAATGAGTCATGGCTTGGGATAAACTGATTAAAGTAAGCTTAATTGTGTCAACTCAAACTCTATATTCAAGTTCATCCTTAGCTGGAGGCGTCAAGCTTCCGGTGACAGTTTTTGCACGTTAACAATAGAATGAAACAAATCAGTAGAGACGTTTGTTTGAGTCTAGGATATGTGTATACACAAAATTCCTCGTAACAGAAACTGGCCGCCGAAATCTCGTTGAGACCGGCCAATTGCGTGTAAATCACGCAATGGGAAATGTGTTTAAGCTGTATACGTGTCATTTTCGTGCGAGAACTACTGTCTCCAGAAGGAACGTATACACACTTTCCGTTGCATGATTTCATATTTATAAACATAGTCATAATTATTTCGGGAGTGAGGGCGTCATCAGTGTTTGAAACTACTCGTACATACGTTTATAAAACATACCAACCGTTTATTACAATAATTGGCACATTCGATAAAATATTGGCTGAAAATATGGATGAACATATTCATCAGAATTTCATTTTTTTAATAAGTGAAATTTAGAGCATTTTCACTCAGGTTACTTGTTCGTGGAAAATAGCGATAGGTTTTACTTCTTTCTGTAAAACATTGGTACCTTAAGCCAACCTTTTTTTAAATAAATTTTTAATTTTGTGATTATTTTTGTTTTATATCAGAGTGGACTATACTGCAGAGCATCAAATTCAGACTTCCATCCTTACGTCACACCCGTCGTCTTAGCAGCGCATTATAACAATTACGATATACTGAAACTATTGACCATAGAATACGGCGCTAGGGTACCGAACCCTTCAGATTTAGCATCACCGAAAGACGAGTCAACATTAGAGCATTCCGTTGGTTCTCTCCAACTATACAAGGCATTGACCAGTGAGGTTTACATGAGTCTCACACAGGAAGATCCCATCGAATACGCTTTTAAACTGTGCCATAAAATGAGACAACTTAGTATGCTCAATTTCGAATTTCGATTCGAGTACGAGGAATTCGCCGATAAATGTGAAACGTATGCGGCCGACATTCTTGGGTCTGTGCAATCGACGGAGGAGCAGACCGTGGTACTGACGCATCAGTCTGATTATTCTGGCAGTGGTAGCATTAACGGTCACAACATGACCACGGATGACGAGCTAGTGGTGCCATATAAGGTCAAAAGGGCGATAGACTATGACCAAAAGAAAGTAAGTGACATATACCATAATGATGCGTGATATATCCATGCCTCAATCAGGATGCAATTTTAAACGTTAGACCAGCCTTTAGTGTGTATTCTTCACCAAACAGTGATTTTTTCGATGCTTCAAGTTGTAAGATGCTCAGTGACCGGGAAACACTACACTACAACACAATTATGATATAACTTTTTTATTTGCATATTTGTTTGTTTGTTTGCAGTTTGTTGCGCATGCTCACTGTCAACATCGATTGGTTGAAGTTTGGTATAAAGGACTCACCAATTGGAGAAATCAGGGTAGCATGAAATCCCTGATATTCTCTCTCATCATGATGTTCTTTTACCCAGTGATCAGTATTTGTTATATTTTGCACCCCTCCGCTAGACCGGGAAATCTTCTCAAGATCCCCTATGTCAAGTTCTTATGTAGCGTAGCTTCCATGCTAACATTCCTCTTACTGCTGTGCCTTCAGAGTTTCCAGCTACGCTACACGTTAGTGGAACTGTTTTTAATTGGCTTGAGTGACGAGAAACCAGTGACCACGTCGGCTGAACAGTTTCTATTTTCCATTGTGGAGATTCAAATAGTGCTTTTCATAGTAGGTAAGGGAGTAATGTGTAGCAGGTAAAAAAACCTGCGTAGCCTCTTTAGTACTTTACTGAATTATGCATGTCGTATTAAAATTGATGGTGTTCTCCTAGTAGTCTTCGATTAGTTTATATATTACTTTACGCAAATACGATATTGATGTTGTATATCTTTTGTTAAATACAATATACATCTTAGCAATTACCCCCCCCCCCCACACACACGTATCTGAGTATAGTACATAATGAAATGTAGAAAGTGTTGTTTTAATTGTGTTGCGCACGTGGGAGAAAACACCGACGTGTTTTATTACAAAACTCACTTTTGTAAAATTATACATATTTGTTCTGAGCCTTGCAACCGCATACGCTCCGTTAATCACATTATTGCGATCGGATGTGACGTAATGATGTATATAGAATTATTCACAACACAGTCACTCTACTAGGAGAGTGACTGTGTTTACAATTACAAGTATTTCCATAATTGAAGCGCTGATGTTTTCATAGGCACATAGTTACTACAAATGAGTAGTTACCTTTCACAAAAAAAATATTAGTGTCTCTGTCTCGATAACCGCAGAAAATGCACGTGATTACATAACATACCAATTAATAATGTTTTGATTATGCTTTTATTCTGCGATTGCCAGCCTACACGTGGAAGCACATCCGTGAGTTACAAGTTGGAGGATATCGGGTATTGAAATACAATGCCCAGGGAAAGCTTTATGACTACTTTAATTTAACACTATATTGGGTATGGCTTATGCTTCGTATTTCACTTGTAATTCAGGTACGTAATACATCTACGTCAATAATAAATGTAGTCCTTAGGATGGCTGCGGAACTTCTGTAATTAGCCAATGATTCATACTGGATAAGCCCATTAATCAATTTGCGTTTACTTGTTATCCCCCAGTCAGTCTTGGTAAATTGGTCATTTTCCGTTCACTGAGAGATCTCGCGTTATACTTGAAATATAACGTAAACACGGGAAAATCAGAGGCCATAGCATCGTCACGTGACAATAAACGCGAAACTATTTTTGGGCATTTCGACATTGAACTATGTATAAAAAATGAAATTCTTATTCAAAATCAAATCATTAGATTATGTGAAATCTCGCATTGAACGAAACATCCGTGAGACAAGGATTTGTATGAAAGCTTCCTCAAGGCTGTTTTATCTTGGGTAGAAATGTATTTAGACCAATAACATGTCAAACTATTTGGATATTACAGGTGTATTTTTTTTTTTTATCTGAGACGCATGTTATTACGTTCGCCCACGGGAAAACAATGAATGGTCTTGTATGTTTAGTATGACGCTAAACGATGCGCCTTGCAGAGAATTGTATGCTATAAATTCCACCTCCCTTATTCAATATACGGCACTGACATTGTGACCATGAGGTGTGTGAGTGGAAATGTCCTAGATGTTTCGATCAACGTGCATACATCACCCTTATAGAGGGAAATTTTAACACAACTACACTGCACAACTAACCATAAGAGCTAAATTATTTATTATTGATATTCGCACAGATTTACCTTGGAAAACCAGACACCTCGTCCGTTTTGGGTGAGCGTAATAATGACACTACAGTCAGTGAATTTGACGTTGGGACATGCCCCACGACATGGGAGAGCGAAGATCTATCCTGTTTGAACAGTAAACTAGACCACGTGATGCAGCAACAGGAAAACTTAAACACAAACATCACAGCTGTCATAAAAGATCTAGAGGAGAAGTTACAACTTCAAGGAGGAGGAGATGATGGTATTACTGTTGCAAGGAGGCGCAAACGATCCAACGTCGCTGCTAGGCTCATGGGAAGCTCGGCCTCATTGGATCACTCTCCGTCGTTCGAGCTGACCGAGCTCCAACAATTCTCTGTGGTCCAGACGGTGATATTTGGCGAAGCACTCATTGCTTTAGCCAAGACGATGAGTTTTCTCAGCCTCGTTCGCATAACTGTTGTGCACATATTAGTTGGGCCAATGCAAATATCATTTGGTCGAATGGGGACAGATATCATTAAGTTTCTGTCGATTTTTATATTAGTACTGATGGCGTTTTCCGTTGGAATGCACCAGGTGTACCATTTTGGTTCGTACATGTCGATGGTTCAAAGCTGTCTGGACAGCGGGGAACCATCATGCGCAGACCAGAGTGAATCGGTTACAGGGTAAGAAGATAAGGTTTTGTTTTTTATTCTTTGTATTTACTGTCAACGATTCGTTGTTAGTGTATAATACTATACAAATAACAGCCTGAACGCTGCTTTGTGCCGGGATTCCGCTGTTGTATGATATTATTTTCTGTGAATAGTATGGATAGGGCCGAGAATGATAGGGTTCCAGTGCAATAACAAATAACCACTCTTATTCGATTCGTGTCGCACCCATGTACAATGTATACATTACATATACAACTGATGCAACTCGTTGAACTGGGAACCCTTACTGTTTTAAATGAAATATGTACTTTGTTACAGAGTTCTCCAGTCCGTGACCGCTTTGTTTTGGACATTGTTTGGCTTATCGGATATGTCATCTTTTCGAAATTCGGATGATGAGCACTGGTTTACTGATTTAATGGGATACATGCTATTTGCTCTTTACAACTCTGTAGCTATTATAGTCCTCCTTAATATACTGATAGCAATGATGAGTAACACCTATACCCGCATTGAGGTAAGATGTATAAATGAAACGTGTTGGTGCGTCACATCTTAAATGGTGATTGTCACGTGTTTAACCATTTGAATACCATATTGGTTCTTGCCAAATTCTGGATGTAAAATTTTGCAAATGTTTAGCTCTGCTGTCGACTTTGTCGAGCTGAGCTTATCATGTGAGTGAATGTCCATCGTCGTCCGCGTCAACTTTTTTATTTTTTCGACTGAGTTCTTCTTGAAACTACATTCCTGGCTGCTTTGATACTTGGTGTATATGTAGGTTGTACCACACTTAGATTTGTTCATTTCATGATGATATCTTCAATTCTTTAATCGAAAAGTCCATTGCAGTGGGGATATTTCAGCCGAGACGCTGCTTATTATGAATTGTTCTATCTTTGTTAATTCGGGATCAAATGAACATATTTATTTCCTACTGATTCTATTCAAAACTTAGGAAAGTATGCAAAAAGGTATGCAGATTTATTTTGTAAAACGTGACAAAATTTGACTTCAAATGGTACAGATTATAATATAATCGCGAAAAATGTATCAGTAATAGTAATATTGTATGTGTTTCACATAGACTCATTAAGTAACAATGTATGTGTTTTGAATGCAGTGCACACACTATGCAATGCACTGAAAACTACTGCTGACTTGGAAGTATACGGTTTAGTAACCAAAAATTAAGAAATAACATTTAAAGCGCGGTGGTCATCCTGCAACGCGTGTTCGAATTTCATGTAAACAAACAATGTATTTTACACGCGTTGTACACGTCGCTATGAGTCCCATATCAAACAGGACGCGGCACGACGACTGCCGCCCTTTAAATTACGTTGTCGTTAGAACTGCGCATGTGTGCAATTCTACTGTTCCCAGATTGGTCTTTACCTGTATCGCGCACAACACATCACTGAAGTAATAAACACAGATCATGGTAGCACATAGTACGTTATCTTCACAAAGGTCATTGCACTATAATCACGCAGAACACATAATTTGGTTTCCTCATTTGTTTGCTTCCCTATAACAAAACACCAGGCTTTTAGCAGCTCTCTAAACTGGTCGCCGCTATCTAAACATTATATTTTTGTGAGCCTCCCCTGCGTAGCTGTGACCACAAGTCGCTTTAATGAAACACTTAATACCCATCCTTTAAACAAATTGGCAGCGTTTGTGTTCCACCATCCTTAAAGTTACGGGCGAGATTTGTTATAACGTGTATATATACATTTCATTTTCCATACACACTCTACTCTACATGACGCGTTTAATTGTATAGCTTTTTGGGTCACTGGCGTTGGATTAGCGAATAAAGACCCAATGTATTCACGTGAAGTTATAAACAATTGTATCTTTTATCGACAGGAAGACGCCGATACACATTGGAAGTACTCCAGATCTACTTTGTGGATAAGCTTTTACGACTCCAGTGCAGCTTTAGCGCCACCGTTTAACATTTTACCCTCAATAGAGTCTCTGCGGAATTGTAAAAGAAAGAGGGCGTTTGCAAAAGCTAAGAAGGTAACAAAATGTTGAACTATTTGTTTAAGTCAGCAACAGACATTTTCTAAAAGTTACAAAGCATGCTACCTATATATCATCTGCCAATGAAAGCTTGAATACAAGCGAATACGGTAGTACATGTGTTTTGTAAATGTTTATCTAGATGTTTACCTGACGAGCAATTTCGCAATTGTACTTTGACTATTCCGACTATTTTTTAATACTTTCAGTCACGCGAATGATCATTGCACATGGCGTTCGTGGCGCTGTAGGTTACACAATCATTCATTATTGACATTGACACCGAAATTCTGGGGGCGATTTCATTCCCAAATGTGGATATTGTAGTTATGTGCGTATTTAAAGTTTTTCTCAAATTTAACATTATAGAATAAATTATACTAAACACTTTGAAGAAACCAGTTATATTTTACGTTCGCTAGTTTTAGATATATGTTGAGTCAATAATTCGGCAACGGAAATTGGTTGATGCTCGGCAATTTCACAATAGTCAGTTTCGTGATTTGTCCCTGGCGCAGTTGCATATGATATAGAGGTCATTCGCGGTTAGTTCTAGCTCGAAAATAAAAACTATCAACAGCAGCTCCTCACACTCTACTACACTTTACCCCCGGTATTAGCCTCGGACGTTTTGTGATGGAATAAAGTGAATAGTATGCGTATGGTGCGTACATAAAGTGAGAGTACTCATATTTACTTGGGTTGAATTTTAGTCGATTCTTTCTATGATGAACTTGGTGACAAACAGTTTTTTATATGAGAGAAAATACCTTACTTAGGAAGTTTAAGAATTTTAGTAATAATGTTATCTTTGTTTCGCGCGTTCTGCATGTAGTGCTCACAGTTATGGTCAGTATACCATCGTAAATCTGTTGATACACCGACTAAGGGTAGCATACAACAAAGAATTTCGTATTTTAATGAGATTTGAGCGGGGCTGTAGCGCGAGTGTAATGTTTGTAACTCATTCCATTCCCACATTTGGTGCATTAAGACGTAAATTGAGTTATTCACATTTTTTAATCGTCTGTATACCAGTCAGAACTGTTATTGGTACCTTAATGCGCTCATGTTATTTCAAAGACGAATCTATTGTACAGAAAATTGTGTTAGTAGCTGGTTTGTTTGTAATATTCTACGTTGTGTGTTATTATGGGATTTTTTATTTGCTTTTTATCCTGAAATAAATAATAATAATAATAATAATAATAATCCCAGTGTATGATAATCGATCATTGTGTGCCTAAACCAACACAACAATCAAGTAAACATTACATCGATGCACTGGCACTTCGGTACATGATGACGGAAATGGACCTACAATTAATAATATGATGAATCATGACATGTTAACTATATTTATTTTTAAACTCTAAACTCTAAACAAAAAAAAAACTTTTTAAAAACAACAGTAAAAGCCTACAACAACTAATGTTACATTTCATTTCTAATTTCAGAATGGTATTAAGACAGTTGACAGCAAGGGTGTAACGTATGCGGTAGGTAACCAGCAACTCTGTGTTTTATTGGGCGTTAAGGGCAGCGACGATATATGAGGAACAATGAACTCAACGAACTCATGTTACCAGATGGTCAAGGTTATATTTTACAGTTGTCCAACAAAAATGCAGGCATACCTGCGTAATCTTGACACTCTCTTCTCTCTTTCCGCTGTGCTACGATGACTCAGCCTAGGGCGCCTAGCACAAATGAAACGTCCATGTCCCGATGTATAACCATAAAAGAACGTTGAGGGCAGTATAACAAACAGAAACAGCAGCTACTAATATTTATTAAATGGTTAAGTAGACTAAAAATCGAGTCTAGGCAACTCACGGTGAAGTCTAGATGTAGTTACAATGCTCTGCTATATTTAAAATGGTGCATTAGACGGGTTCCCGAGTGTTCTTTTACTATATACTATTTACTGGTTTTTTTTTTTAAATATGACCACATAAAGATAAACAAACTTGCTGAAATATTATATTAGGCACAAAGTGGGCAACGCGTTCGTACCAATGCTAATGTCATATAACATGCGATGTGAAAACTAAGCATCAAATAGTCGCCATTTCATTGAAATCGGTCATGTGATGCATTCATAGTTACAGCTATTGTCTCTTTAAAGCGGGGGAGTGGTCACCTGCGCATGCGTCAGATGGCTATAGCGTGTCATTGTTTACAAACAAGCGTCTAAGCGTTTGTTGTTATCCACGTGGTTGTTATCGTCGCTTGGAACTCAATTCCCGCGCGTGCGCAGGTGACGACACTCCCGCTTTAACAATGCAATGTTGACAAGAACATATAATTTTTAGTATTGTTGTTTGGTACTGTATGTTGATGAATACATTCGACTATGATTTATCATGAACTGAAAGCTGTTCTGGTATTACACATCTGAGTATTCGTTCAATGAAATTCTCTAATAAGCAGAGGCTTATAACACATACACTCCCGGTGTAAACAAATCATAAAGATGGAATGCATCTTTTTAAACGTTCTTCTTCATTTTTTATAGACACTGATGAAGGAACTCGGACATCGATATATCTTCAGCAAAATTAAGGAGGATGACGATAAACCTGATCCATTAATCATGCAACTCAAACGTGATCTGTCAGGTCTTCGAAGTGAGACTAAAGAAACACTTTCCGGCATGGGGAACGTTATGAAGGAACTGGCCGGAGAAGAAGTAGAAGAAGAGGAGACTGAAATGGAACGCATGTTAAATAGAGCAGAGCAATACGGACCAATCGGAATGCGGTCTTTCAAAGACCCGGCCAATGTGTGCGATGCTACTAGTGACTGCCTTCCGTACGTCGACGACAGCGCGCATAGTACCCCCCGTCGCGTGCAGAATCACGTGAATCCGGCTACTATCGTTTAGTGACGTTATTTGTATAGTGAGAAAATGCCTTTTTGTAACCAAGTGTTGATTTCTGTGATCGGCCTATATCTCAGACAACCAACCCTGAGCTGAGCTTATATTTAGTTCCACCAACGCTGCCGACTATCTCACGAATTTATTGTCGAACGTTGCTGTGAGATTATATTAGATGTCGTTTTATCGCAGGGTTTGTGATCCTGTCAAACCTGGTCGATAAGCATTGTACTAGGTGCATAGGTAACAAATAGTACACACATGTGATGATGAGAAGGAAGATGAGGGGTTTAATGGCGGTGGTCGTCATTGTAAACAAACAATGTTTTTTACACGCGTTGTATACGTCGCTATGAGTCCCATATCGAACAGGACGCGATGCGACGACCACCGCCCTTTTACATCTCTCAGGCCCGACCTAGTATGTGGCGTGTAATAAGACCAGAAAATGACGCGGTTTTCGGATTTCGAAAAAAAAAATAAGCGGATATATTAACACTTATATTACTTTTAAATATTTTTTTTTTACTTTGACGATGATAATTTTCATACTAATGCCGGGACGAGTACTATTGCTGTCAAGTCGCGATGTATACGGATTATATACATGGGAACGATGAACGACATGTCTTCTTAATTAGGCGGAATTCGTCGTCTGTAATTTGTTGTTTTGGATATATTCGCAATTTAAAAATTACGACCAGCAGCTATAGAAACTCTATGATAAATGGCTATATCTGTGAATAAATTATACGCTTACAAGGCATAACTTTTATGAAATATGATTTTCATTCATTCAAATGGATTGCGGAATCATACCTTGTTTATCCTCGGGGGCGGAGCTACGTCACAGACGTTCCACGTTGCTAAGACGCGCACCAGTGTACAATGCATTTCTATGGGCTCTGTGCGCGCTGCTGTGGAACGCCAGTCGAGCCGGTGAAAATTCGAGAAAACAACACAAACTCAACTTTGAAGTAATTCCGAACAACCAAATTTATATATGTTACACACGTAGGGCTAATCTTGTTGCACTGTTCAGAGGAGTCTCAACAATCATCCCAAAGTACCGTTTTCTGCGAGTTTTGGGCCTTTGTTTTCACCGCCGCGGGTTGCCAGGCGGTGAAAATGCCCGGATGTCCGCCCCCGAGGATACCTCACATTTGCATGAATCTATTTTACATATTCCAGTTGGTTCTGTGACAAACTGATAGCTTTTGTTGGCAAGTGTATACCGCCATCTATCGACCTATCGACTAAATGTAAAGTCACGTTTATTCGTATCCTACAGTCATGTGACGTGATTCCTGTTGCAACGCAATAAATGTCGACCACACGTTGTCAAAATGACGAGCTGTGCGTGGTATGAACGAGAGAGGCAGATGGAAACGATGCAACCATTCCTGATGGGGTTGGTTAGATTCAAAGTGTATATACCAAACAATCATTTACCGAAGTGGAAACAAAAATTTGATTTTATTGTGACCAAAATTGAGGCACAACTGAATAAAGACAACTCTCGTAAGTCCAACCCGAATTTCGATTCACCAACGTCGACGTAATCAATTCCGTAACCGACAATTTCTTTTGTTAGACTTATAAAACTGCGCATGCTCCGAATAATTATCAGGTATATCTATCCCGAGTGTTTATTATTATTATTATTATAATTTCTATGATTAATTTCATTACAATATTTCGTTTATTATATTCTTATTATATTCTTAATTTCCATTTAAACTCATATTGTTTGACTTTTTATTGTGTGACTTATTCAAAACTTCAAAACCACGTGCCCGCCGACCATATAAAAATGAGCCTGTGTGGTGCCAGATGAGTAAACATGTGGTGATATGTTATGTAACGTATAAATGCAAATAGCTGGCAATTGTTTGGTCAAACTTGAAGCGGGAGGGTCGTCACCTGCGCACGCTCGGGAATTGAGGCCCAAGCGACGATAACAACACACGCAAAAAACCCAAAGACTATGGAACACGCTATAGCCATCTGACGCATGCGCAGGTGACAACGCCCTTGCTTTAAATTCGTTTTTTCAATCCCGCGTTCTAGGTGCGGTTATAGCATAGACACTATAATGTTTCACACCTCGTGTTTATTCATTTGCTACTATGAAAGTAATGTGCTTAAGTAAATATTTCGAGAAATGTTTACAGTAAACAATATTATTTTCTTCGTGACTATTACAAAAGTGTAAATATGACCCAAAAATCGGACCAGCTAACCCTGCTTGTTTAACCAGAATTTTAACCTGTAAATCACACCTTTGTTACTAATGGCAACAGCTACCGTAACGGGAGAAATAGATAATTATTGCAGTTGTTGCTATGTATTACGTCGTAACGATACGAAATTGTATTATTTCATCATGGTGGGTTTGATCTGTTCTTTGATCTATGGTCACAAATAAAGCCATAACCGTACTAATGTGTTCTTTTCCCGTCTATTTCTGACTCAATTTGCGGATTACTGCTGCTCGTGATAATTTTCAAGTTCAAAGTTAATGACACGTACGTACGATCACTCTCTTGTGCATTCAAACAAAATAAAGCATGCGATTACAACTTTTTTGGGAGATCTACTCTATAGTACTTCGAATCAAATATTTATCTGTCTAGTCGTTCAACGTAAGGGGGCAATCAGCGACAGTCGTACAGTTGATGGATAATTTCAAATACGCCTGGAATGTGTTCCAGACTCATCGTGTAATGAGGTGTTCGTATGCAAGGGATTTTCCACACAACGATTACGAACTCAGTCGAATTTTGTTTGCTTAATGTTACAGATCGTTTTGCTGTGAAAGTTCGGTATTTTTTTCTTATTTGTAGGAATCTGAAAACCCGTTTCTCAATTTGTCTCTTTATTTAGTTTCGAGCCATATTCAAGATGGCTGCCCATATATAGTAAATATCTTTCGGCAGATTAATGGTATTTATTTTATTATCTCTTGTACGCCAGTTGACTGTCAGCAGGACGTGTGTCTCGTTTCAACAGTTTTCAATACAAGACGACGACAAAGCATTACAGGGAAAATGTTATTATTGGTAGTAGCGAAAATAAAATTTGAAAAAAAAACGCTATCTCTGGCGAGAAAGCAAACAAAAGCAAAGGAATCTAGTATGTTGTATACATTTTGAGCAAAATATTGTGGAAGAGTATCCACCCCGCATTTTGGCTAACTGGAATGGGTGGTATTGGGTTTGGAGATATACTGCAATATAGCAAGTGTAAGGGATAAATCGTAGACTAATATATTTCATTGCTTCATTTAATATACAGCTTGTCGACTATAAATACAATTCACTGAGCACGTAGTGGGATTCTTCTTTATGCACCACCGACTGTTTGAGTATATAGAGAGAGAGAGACATAAAAACGCAATTTAACATCACATACCACAAATATAAACAATGAAAGCTTTGCTATAAACGATATTTGTGTATCGCGTATTTCAGTTGATGACATTTCATTAACAAACAATGGATTATATATGGTGATATCTATGGTGATATATTTGGTGATATCTATGATGATATCTGTGGTGGTATCTATGGTGATATTTATGGTGATATATATGGTAATATATGTGGTGGTATCTATGGTGATATCTATGGATTGTGATATCTGTGGTGATATCTATGGTGGTATTTATGGTGGTATCTATGACATCTATGGTGACATTTATGGTGGTATCTATGACATCTATGGTGATATCTATGGTGATATATATGGTGATATTAATGGTGGTATCTATGGTGATATCTATGGTGGTATCTATGGTGATATCTATGGTAATGTCGATGGTGGTATCTATGCTGATATCACCTGGTAATTTTTTTAATAACAATTATTTCTATGTGATATCTAAGTTCAGAGGAATTAGGCAGACGAAGAAAATTAAATAATAATGTAGGACTACATTTTGGAGTTGATTTACAAACTTGAATGAAAACAGTATCCCAAAATTTTCCTCGGTGTCATAGCTTGAAAAACTGATATAGTGCCGTGCCCACTAATTTTTTTTTCTCAAAAAATACAAACTGATTTTACGGTCTGGATATTATGCCATATCTCAAATTGTACTAGGCTGGTGACATAGGCTGAACTATCATATATTGTTAATGCTGATTTGATGTCCTGAATTATTTCAAAAATCTGTGTTTTAAACATGGCTGCCCCAGGGTTTGATAATGAAGTTCGTTAAATCTGTTCTAAACGTTTTGGATATCGACATTTCCATGATATATCACTGGGTGGAAAAGATGTATAATAATAAGGTTATAACGAGGATATCGCAATGTATGCACTCAGACAGTACGCCGTCACATCAACCTCCGCTGCGTATCGGTCGATACTCCCGCTGCACTGTCTTCGTGAATACTTTTCTGTATCCTCGTAATAACCTCATAGTATTTCACTGCAGTCTGAGTATTATATTAAATGAAGTATACATTAAATAAATACTTACAACACGGGTCAGTAGAACAAGAAAATTGTCCAGTACTTTCGCACGTACTAAAAGATTAACATAAAATCATATCAGTGCTGTGTTGTTACTACGATCGACGAGCCAGTGCATGTCTTTAAGATGCACTGTGGATCAGAACTTGTATTTTTTTTAAATAGTTTGGAAAAACTTGTTGATGAACACATTTCACTATGATGCATCAACAATAAAATACATCGTTTCTTTTTTTCAGGACTTGTTCAATGAACAATTAAACACACTAATGCGCATCGTGATGTGTTCCCATTGTTATTGTGACACTCTCCAAAACAACCAACTCACAAGCGTAGTAGAATTTGTCAATTTTTTAGTTTATATTAAATCATAATTCAATACAACAAAATTTGATGTATTACAGTAATCGCTGCGGACAGATAATCTAAACTTGCGCCATACCCATATAACACGACGTTTATGTTAAATAGCTTTCGATAGCCAGTGGTGGCGCTATCTCACAAATGTATATGACATCTTTAGAAGG